TTTAGTATAGTTTTGGCAAAAGGTCATCGTTAAATTATTATCATGACTTCTCTACATTCCTACAAATTTGCTAATGCGCAATAATTGAATGGATGGGGGCCTTTTGGGTTTGGGATGGTAAACTGGTTATCATCTTCCCAAGGCTAACCTGGTTTATGATAAATTCCTATTCAAAAAGTATGCTTCCTGTTTGATATACTCCGCTCTAAAAGGAAATTCTTATCGACAACTTTTTTGGGAGATCTGCATGAATGATTCTTTTCAGTTATATATTTAGGATTTATCTGGTTCTATGACATTTTTAGCGACATGTTATTTTATTTAAAGATGCCAACAATTTGGTTTACCAATGTCCTAAAATAACCATTCAATAGTGACAATGATGTACTATTTTACTACTTATCTCAGACATTTGATGAATCTTTATTATATATAGCATTGATCTCTCCTAATATAATAGCACTGATTTAAACATCTGCCATTAATAGATAATATTGACAACTAATAATGCAGATATTTTACTAACGTTGTCATCAAGTAATATTGAACTAGAAAAACCTTTAGTTATTAGAGTCTTTTATGCTAGATCAGGTGTAGCTTAAGTTCCTAGTATGCCTTGTGCCGCGTACCCCGGCTTGTTGGTTGACATCCACGGTAAAAAGACCTCACAGGTCGGGAATTCGAATCCCCTCTGACACAGTTGGCCTTAAGGAGGTGGTACTCGAATTGTTAGATACATTAGGGGTGGCTGAAGGCTTGTATAATAGTCTCTAACAATTCCTTTTATAAAAAAAAAGTTCCTAGTATGCCCCAAAAAATTTCCAAAATGAGGAAAGATTCAAGTCCTATATTTTTTGAGTTAAATTAAGTTGTTCGAGTGGAATGACCGCGAGTCCATGAGATACAAGTATAACATAGGAAGTTGAAAGTTCTATTTATCAATTTGTATTCAATCGACTTATTTGTGGTTTTGAATGTCATGCTTCAAAGAAGTTTATCATTTATTGGGGTCTCTGTGCTAAGTGAGGTGTGCTGGTATATCATTGTTGTACAAATGATATAGTTCTAATTACTAATACATCTTTTAAACTAGATGAAAAATTAAAATAATGGTGACAAATTTTAGAAGGTAACAAAGCTCTAATTAATAAACCAAAGATTAAATCTATGATATGCAATTTTATTGGTTATAATCAATTATCCAATATTATTATTAAAAGATAAATATCTTGGATTTGTTATACCAAGGAATGTGGGTATAGATGAAGATGCAATTGATATAGTTATGGATTGGTGTGTAAAATCGTAGGATCTCTTGCGAGCATTATGTGATTAGACTATCATGATGCGTTAAACATATAAAGCAACTTGTCGATATTGATGTTACATGGAATCAAGTGTTAAGTGGTAAAATTTCTTAATTTATAATTTATTGTTACAAATGATAATATTTTGGTGGATTTTTGAAAAATCAATTATAAGCAATTAACGAATCATTATAAAGTAAAAACCCAAAATAGTCCCTGGATTATTAAGAAGTATCCAAATCAGTTCGAGAATTTTAGAATGCTACAATTTAGTCTCAGACTATTAAAAGTTGCTCCAAATTGGTACTAAATTATATTTTCCGTTAAACTTGAAGGTGGCTGCCATGAAATGAAGGTATTTTTGTCTTGTATGTAATTATCCAAAATTTATGTGATTTGTATATTAATCTCTTATTTATTTATTATTGAAAAACTATAATTTTTAATTTGCATTAATAAATCTCTTCATAACAGTCAACATTTTTCTTAAATGAATTTTTTTAAAATAATAAATAATTATGTAGTAATAGCTCGCTTAATATGAAATTATATGAATTACTCAATTTCAATTGAATTTTTTATTTCAATATTGCTTATTAGAGAATTTATTTTAAAATAGTTAAAGTTAACTTGAAAAACTAATAATTGAAATAATTTTAGGTTTAAAATATTATGTATGTGAATCATAAAATTATGTGATTAATGACAAACCACTAATGCTTTTGTACAATATTTTTTTTTGGAATACGGTGTACACACACGCACATAGAGACACTCAAACACACACACACACGCATGGGTTTTATTTTATGGGAATACTTGTATTTTGGAGCATCTTTTTGTATGGAGTTGTATTCTGGGAGTGGAACCTTAGGTGTGGGTTTTGTTTTTTTTTTTTTGGTTTAGAGGGTTCCACTAGTATTACTCTGTAACCTCTTTTTTGGAGCAACAAAGCTACATAAGGGTTTCCTTATATTTTATTATATATTACATGCATACATAAGGTTGTGTATTCAATGGTGATTCAATAAAAAATTTCATTTAAAAAAAAGTGATGACGGTTGTGAAGAGTTTTATTATGCAAATTAATTTTTTTTTTCAACACAAATAAAAAATAAATTTATATACAACCCACAAATTTTGAATAATTACATAAAAGATAAAATGACCCTTCAATTCATGCAAATGACCTTTAAATTTAACGAAAAATATGTTTTAAGACTAATTGGAGGAACTTTTAATAGTCTGGGACTAAATCGACAGAACTCTGGGATTAAATTGAACAACTCTTAGTAGCAAGGGGACTATTTTGGACTTTTACTAAATTATTATATTATATGAATGGCATCTAAAGATAAATTTTTTTGAAAATTGTTCCAAGTGGTTTAGATGTATAACAAAGGATAGAAAATACACCTATTAGTAGAGTAAATTTAATACTCAACCAAATCAATGAGAAATTAGAACTTATAAATCTGAATCCAAATAGATGTGATAAGGTTAATAATTATGTAGTATTCAAATTGAATGTGAGAGAATTATGGATATTGAATTGATGTGTTGTTGAATAATGGAGATTGAGTAATGACTATATTTTAGAGGCAACATGGAGTTTACCATATAAGATATAAGAAATAAGACTTAGGTTGTATGTTTGTTCATAATGATAGGTGGATAGAATATTAGAAGGTTTAAAAGTTATAGGGGGTAGATCAAAGTTAACACAAAATTGATTTAAAACTTCTTAGTTCTCATCTTTAATGAATGGATGAAAGATTCATAATGTTGATCCAAGTAATTGGATGAGGCTAGTGATAATGATGATGAGATTTATAATTTGAAATTTTATTTTGCATCTTTGTTTCATGAGATACATGATATAGCAACATCACTCATCGACACTCGCATTTAGGTGTGGTAGTTTAGTTCTTTAATGGCTTATATTAGGGTTGTGGATCGATTAATTTTCACATGGAATTAGTGCTTTTTAGATGACTTTAAATTCTACCATATGCACAAATATATTTACTAAATGTATATATATATATATAATGAGAATTTTTTAAGTAAAAAAGGGAAGTCCCACATAGAACTTTGTGCTCTTCTATTATGCATAGTACACATAGGCACGCTCGCCTGCACACACACACACACACACACACACACAAATATATATATATATATATACAGCTTGGCCTGTTGGTTGGCATCCACGGTCAGGGGTTTAAATCCCCTCTAGCATAGTTGGATTTAAGGAGGTGGTACTCGAATTGTTACGCACATTAGAGGTAGTTGGAAACTCGTATGATAGCCTCTGGCCATTCCTTTAAAAAAATAATAACAATAATAAAATAAATATATAAATAAATTTTTATGGACACTACTTTGATCCCGTAACTAGAATTGAAGGCTAACATGTAGAAAATAGTGTAATGTGTTGTTGAAGTGTTAATATGAAAAATCATTAAACAAAATTATCAAATTCCCCCACAAAAATAGGCACACAAATAGATATATATATATATATATATATATATATATATATATATATATATATGTATGTATACATCACATAATTCTTATGTATTTACATATTTAATATCTAAATGCTTATATATATGTATATAAAACTTAAATTTTTAACATCACATCAAAATTACTAGTAATATGTTTTTTTCTAAAATGAATAAACCTTTTTGTGCTTATGTTTCGATGTAATTATGATACTAAAGTGCTATATAAACAAATATTAAAATTTAGCTGTTAAATTAGCAAGCACATTAGAATTGTGTGGTTTGTGTGTGTGTGTATTGGTTAATGATCATGCAACACGCATAAGTCATTGATTTTCATACACAATTCTTTTTTTATGAAAGTTCCAAATATGTCATGTTACTTTATTAGGCTATCAATGTTTAGAGATCATTAGGAAGATAATATCTCCTTACAATTTTTTAACTAATATACAATCATTTTAATGGCCTTTTTATTTACCAATGAATTGCTACAAATATATAATATTTCTAAATTCCTCGTATTTTTATTTCACAATTTGTGTGGAGTACATGCTATGCCTAGCTACAATCTTGTTCGGATGGTACCTCGATAACTACTGGGTATTGTGGCCATGAATGCATTATATGGTGTCTATGAATACATGATTTTCATGGCAATCTTTTGGTAGTTTCTCCACTACGCATTATATAATGATAAGATATATATGACCCATCGATACAATTTGGACCTTGGACCCAATGTTCATGGGGTTTCATATTAAATTCTAAAATAGATTACCTTCAAAATCTTCTGCTAGATAAGGTTGATTCAATTTTTGGATTCTTTTTACAGTATTGTGGTTATAATGTGGGTGTAAGGCTGTGTTGAGGGCAAGCGACTGCGTTAATACAGTGGGGAAAAAAATTGGGAGTAATAAGGTGTAGTTAATGAAGGTGTTGATGTATGAAATGGGTTGTGGGGATGGAGTGGCAAATGCTGAAAATTGAGGTGAAGTATGGGGATGTCATCTTTTAAATTTTGAGGAACATGTTACAACCTTAGTAACATACTCTTGGCACATGAATTCCTGATTTTCCTAGCTTTCATTCTCTGTGTTAAAAGTAATCAGACTGTTACACCAGTTATTTCAAAAAAATATGATTATATATGCCAATTAAAAAATTTGATGCGTTGCAGGGTTAAGGTTGTATTCTTGAACCCTTCTTTAGGCCCCTCATTGATCGCAGCATCATGGCCTGGGTATGTCTCACCTTTCTATGGATAGCCTTTTTCATTGACCTGTTCTTTCTTGTGTAGTTTGATCTTTGTCTTCTGATTTCTTCATGTTCTTCATTTTAATGAACTTTGCTTTTTCATGTCCTTTGTAAATCCTCCACTACTTGTATCCAAAGTGATATAACTTAACTCTTCCATTTGCTAGAAAATAAAGTGCATGTTTTTTAATGCTCCATGTTGAACCGGTGCTGTTGCTCTTTTCAAATTTTTTTGAGCAATAAAATGCATATATTGAATGCTCCATGTTGAACCAGTAGAGCTGCTCTTTTCTGCTTATCTTTTAACCTAAGCATACCATGCTATCCCTTACGTGCAAATTATGATCTGTGAAATACAGACAATTCTCAGTAGCCATTTTTTTCTAGCTAGCCCATGGTGTCACATATATGGGCTGTCACCCTGTAGAAACCCTGTTGGACTTACATTGTAATATGCTCTTTTTTTTGTTATTCTTATTAAATTCTTAGCACTTGTTGGATGCCTCCTTTGACACACATAAACAGGTGTCATAAACAATGTTTTAAAACGTGTATAATCCTGAAGAGAAGACGGATCAAGGAATAAGCCTTAAAAAAAAAAAAAAAACTCATAAAATTCATAAATAGGACATTTGAACAACCACAAATTTTAATCTTAAATGTTATTGGCGTAACTTACATGCAATTGAGGAGGGTTGAAATTCTATACAATTCTTATGTTTACTATTACTGTAAAAAAATAGAGTCATATACATACATCTTATACAATTATTTTGTTTCCTATTTCTGCCAATACATAAATAAATAAATAAATAAATAAAAGATAATTGAGGCATATAAAAGGAACGAAATATATAGTAATAAATCAAAATTAAACCTGGGAAGCTCGTAGGATAATCACTGTAGAGAGAGACGAAGCAAGGCATCAAGATTGTTATGAGTCTTAGAATGAACTTTGACGCTCGATGTTGCGTCGCTTGGACAGGACTTCTATGCTCAACTTTGCAAGGCTTGGATGGGGATTTGACAATCAACATAGAGATGAAGCTGATGCAGGGACGCTCGATCAGGTTTGGGACAACATTTGAGTGGTGAAGTGAATGCTAGGCTTGTTGACATTCAAAGTAATGACAATCAACATAGAGATGAAGCTGATGCAGGGACACTCGATCAGGTTTGGGACAACATTTGAGTGGCGAAGTGAATGCTAGGCTTGTTGACATTCAAAGTAAAAAAATGGAGAAGCAGATTTTGCGCTCGGGACGATGCTAAAAAATGAACCCTAACACTTGCTATCATTCGTTATTGTTCGTAAGTAAATCTAAGTTAACTTGAAAAAAATAAGGCTTGTCTTGTCACGACCCATCCCGGGGCTTGAAATTAAACAAGACGGGAACAGCCTGTCGGACAAAGGAAATTAAATTTCTATATTCATTTGCAATTTAATAAATGAAAGAGCCACTAATTAAATGATTTAAAACGGTATATTTAAATTTATCTCAAAATCGGTTGTCCACGTCTTTTATACCCTTTTTGCTTTCTTTCGTATATCTTTTAATCAACTAATTAAATCTGAAAAATTAGTTTAAACAATTGTGAACTAAAAGGGACAGTGAATACTCATACTCATAAACCACAATAATATAGGGAAAAAGGAAGAAATATGCATGCTAGTTAAATTGTTTAATAAATCAATATAGATATTTAATTTTATTCAAAGAGTCGTACTATATCATTAGCATATCAATATCATTTCATATCTATATAAATATCACAGGAGTACCGTTTAAAAATTATGTCAATTAAGATACATCAGTATCAATATTTTTTTTCATATACTTGTATAGATAACTTAATATTCCCCACTAGTACCATCAAGAGGTGACTTCATCATACTCATACATGCACGTGCAAGAAGCCAACATAAATATATTATTCATATGCTAGTCATATTCAATTCAATATACTATATATAACATACATCGGTACATAATATTAAGCAGCTATAAACATTTATAATAATGTGACCAATAAACAAAAATATATAAATCAAATAAAGTTTGTGTAAATATCATTATCTACTAATGCATAAAAATTGAGAAGAGTTAAAATTTTACCATAGATTTAAAAGTACGAGTAATCACCTTAATGCCGATTAATTTTTGCTTGAATTTGTCTTGACGTCGATTCTTTTAAATTAAAATATCTTGCATAAATATGCTATTTAGTGAATTTATTATTTTAATAAACTGTTACTTTTTCATCAATTAAATATTAAATTTACTTTATTTAATATGGCTTACTTTCTATTTAATATATATATATATATATATATATATATAGATCATGTTATCCATATGTCTAGAACCTATGAAACAATTTCTTAGTACTGTAGAAGTGTTATACGGTTCTTGATTAACTCATGTATTGCTTTGACAGGGTATTGCCGTTCTGCAATTTGCTTTGGATTATAGATCATGTTGCTTTTCTTCTGACATGTTCATCATATAGGAAGGCCTCCGCTAACTTATTAATTTTTCTTCTGTCCATATGTCTAGAACCTATGAAACAATTTCCTAGTACTGTAGAAGTGTTATACGGTTCTTGATTAACTCATGTATTGCTTTGACAGGGTATTGCCGTTCTGCAATTTGCATTGGATTTCAGTGTGACATAATGGTTTCTTTTGAGATGAATGACACAAAAAGTAAGAATGTAGTCTTTTCACATAGATTTTTTTTATTGTCGATATTTACTTGTGCTCTGATTATTAAAAACAGAAATCTTCTTTAGTTACTGTTACATTTTTTATATTAGCTTGAATAATTGTGAAGATAATTCTTTTAACTCTAGGTATGATAACATGCTTTGAAAAATTGCAAACTAATTTGAATGTTTATTTTGAATCAGCTATGGTTTGAATGTTCCTAAAATAATTGAAGTTTTGCTGGTTTTTCTTAATCAGTAATGCCAGTCGATTCTAGTCATCTTGATAGTATGTGGAGTTTTGGGAACACCAGAAACCGCACACTGATTTGTACTGTAAACTATTGTGGTCTAATGTGCATTCTTTGTAAAATGTTGTGGCCCAATGTGCTTGCTTTGTAAAATTTGGAAAAAATTGCTACTTATGGAAAACGTTACAGGCACTTCCAAGATTAGACAGCCCTACTAGTTGTTCTTATAAGCTCCCATGAAATCTAACTTCATTAAAATTAGACTAGCTGATCTAACATCATCTAAGCTGGATGCATCCTGATTCATGCATGTCTGGTCCAACTTTTCTCAGTTGGTCATGAGGCAAGGAATAACCAGCTTATGACAAATGAATGGTCAACAAAACTAGAATTACTCTTTAATCCAATTTAATTCTGATAGTTATTTAAACAATTACATAAGATAGATCCAAACTATAATTTGAGATCATATCATTAGATCCGTTATTCTCACTGATATTGTAACTTGATTATATTTCTTTGTGTTCACTTTAAAAGGGACCACAGTCAGATGACAAGATTCTAAATTTACAATTATTACTTGTTATAGATTATTGTTTTATATAGATTAGTAATTTTTGAAGTGGAAGTCTATATTCTTAAACCTAAACCATTGCACAATATCCAATTGAATACCTTTCATTATCATGAAATTTCTGCTAGTGACATTGTGTTTTTTTTGTGCTTTATCACATTAGAATAAAAAATTCCCGCTTTATATCATCCTGCTCTGCCACCACTTATAAGTACTTCAACCCGATTCTGTATTCAGACAAATTAGGATATTTTTCTTATCAATTCCATACCAGCCAGTCAAAGTTTAATTTGGTTCTGCAGATATAAATTTGCAACAAGATCAATTACATTGGACATCTTATTTTGAATAAAAATTTGAGTGTATTATCTGAACTAGGTGCTTATGCTTTTGCATTATTTATTTTATTTAATTCCCAGTAATTATTCCTACTTGATACTCTATGAATTTGTTTTATTTTGTGGTGTATATACCGTTGTATTGCGGATGCCTCCTTGGCAAACTAAGAAGTCGTGGAAGCTATTCATTTATTGAGAGGTTTGATGGAGAAGTTTAGAGATAATAAGGAGGATCTACAGGATCTACATTGGATCTACATTTGATTTTTATTGATTTAAAAAAACCTTACGATAAGATAGATAAGATACCGAGAGATATCCTTTGGAGACTTCTTGAGAAGAAAGGTGTTGATATGATTTGTATTCAAGTCATTAAAGATGTGTATAATAGAGCTGTTACTTGTATTCAAACTGAAGGAGGATTGACCAATTATTTTCCTATTTTTGTTGGATTACATCAGGGATCGGCTCAAGCCCATATCTTTTTGCTTTAGTTATGGATGGTCTTACAGAACATTTACAGAAGGATGTACCTTGGTGTATGCTTTTTGTTGATGATATCTTTCTTCTGGATAAGATGAGAGAAAAAACTCATGAAAAACTAGAATTATGGAGATCTACATTGGAGTCTAAAGGCCTTTATTTGATTAGAATTGAAATTTGATTAGAATTGAAACTTTTGAAACTTAATACATAGAATGTAATTTTAGTAGTAGTAGCTCTAGTTATAGAAGTGTAACTTTGGGTGATCAATTTATTAAAATGTTTGAACGATTTAGATATCTCGGGTTTGTTGTTCAAAGCGATGGTGATATAGATGATATAGATGGGGATGTTAATGCGATGGTGATATAGATGGGGATGTTAATGGTAGAATTCAAGTAGGTTGGTTGAAGTGGAGGAATGCATATAGAAAAGTATGTGATAGAAAAGTATCGCTTAGACTGAAAGAAAAATTTAATAAGATGGTGGTGAGACCTGCAATGCTTTATGGCGTTGAATGTTGGCCTTTAAATGAGAAGCATAATACTAAGTTGAGTGTTGTTGAGATGAGAATGATTTGGTGGATGAGTAGCTTTACACTTAGAGATGCGAAATGAATATCTCCGTGATAGGGCTGGTGTAGCTCCAGTGATGGACAAAATTAGAGAGAGTCGTCGTCGTCTTAGATACTTAGATAGTTTGGTTACATTAAACGTCGACCATCTGATGATCCGATTAGGAGAGTACATGTTTTAGATTCGACCTATGTTAAGAAAGACAGAGGTAGATTTAGGAAGAGTTGTGCTTATTGTATAAAAAATGATCTTAATTTATTAAAACTAAATGAAAATATGACACTAAATAGGACACAATTGAGAAAAAGGATTCATGTAGCCGACCCCTCGTAGTGGGATTAAGGTTTTGTTGTCGTTGTTATTGTATTAGTAAGTCCATCATACCAGTTGTCTTGTTACAGGGTTGGTCTTTGTTTGATTTTGTTATGTTTGTTTTGTTAGCACTCTTTCTAATTTAAGATAGTTTTAAAGATAGTTTGCTAAGTGTTATAAAATTTGTTAAAGATGACTTAATAATGAAAAAAATATTCTGATTTATGTGGTGGCATGAGAGAGTCACTGATTTTGTCACATCAATTTGTCATCTTCAAAATGTTTCTTTTGGTATAATTTGACATTAGGCTTTGTTTTAAAAAAAAATTTAAATTAAATTATGTTGGCTATTTAGATGAAATGCATATGAGTGAAAGAAACATTGGTACTTGGAGCATAATGCATCAAGTGGCAAAGAAGCTAAATAGAGAAGAATTAAGTGAGGTCACACATTCAAACCCATAATGGATAGAAGGACTAAATAAAAAAAAATGTGGTGGGAGAGGTCGGAAGAGATGTGTAATTAATCTAAGGGATTAGTGCCTTTCTTGATTCTAGTGGTTGTTAACAAGGGATTGAGGTTAATGGAGGAATGTGAATTGTTAGGCATTTGAATCTATTAAGGCATTCTGATGCACTGGTATTCTTTTGGTTCTATGCTCTATAAAGTTGAATTTTAGCGATTTTATACCTTGAGGCTAAAATTTATGCTTCCAGGCCAGTTAGCTTCAATACTTTGGCCTTGTTGTGATAATTTGTAATCATGTTCTTCAAGAAATTCCATATTATTGGCTGATGATACTTGGTCTTTCTTAAATATTTTTTTCATGACGTGCGCATGATTGTGCTGTACTTTACTAAATAGCGAGGCTTAATGGAAAAAGATGAACCTTAGTTTAACTGTATTTTTATTTTTTTTTAGCTTTTATTTCAATCTTATATTACCAAGCTGAATAAAAACAGAGCAAAAAATTTTTGCAGTCAATTGTTGATGATGATTTCTTGTGCTAACACATATTCTACCTGGAAACAGAGATCGGTATAGGACTGACTGGATTTGGAATCTTTTTCTCATTTCTGGGAATAATTTTCTTCTTTGATAAAGGGCTATTAGCCATGGGGAATGTGAGTGCACTGTTTGCCTTGTCTGCATTCAATTTCTTCCATTATGCATCAAAATAACTATGAGATGTTCTTAACCTTTTTGCCCTCTTATCACTGGCAGATCTTGTTCCTCTCTGGAGTGATGCTAACAATTGGATTGAAATCGACCATGCAGTTCTTCACTAAGCCTAAGAACTTTAAGGTTGAATCAATATGAAGGTTCCGTCAGAATCTGTCGTGTACTTTTTTTTTTTTTTTTTTTTTTTTTTGGCTTCTACAAAAGCTTTCTTTGGTAGGGCACGGCTTCATTTGGCATTGGATTTTTCCTTGTCCTAATCGGATGGCCCATCTTTGGCATGATTTTCGAGACTTATGGCTTTATGGTTCTCTTCAGGTAAGTGAAGTTGCATTACCAAAATGTCTTGATGTAGTTTAGTTATTGACGTGTCTTCTTTTATAAAAGAGCATTATTCGGCTCTTCATTTTATTCCGATAGAGTAAAGTACAAAACCGGGAAAAAGGTCCCACACACACTCTACAATCCAAAAAAAAGGAAAAAAAAAAGATCCTCTTTCCAAATAAAGAAAAAAACAACTCAACACACACCCAAATACCCCACCAAACTAAAACACGAACAAATCCAAAAGAATCAATCTATGAAGATCATCAGGTAAGATTTTATAAATGAAAGGTGCTCGCAGAAAATATCCCAACTTAGTAGCCCAATTGGCAACAACATTACCATCTCTTCTAATATGAGATCAAATCACATTAAGATCTTTAGCCAGATGAAGAATCCTCTTAACCTGCAAATGTAAACTCTAATGACACACCAAAATCAATCTGTAAATCTTCCATAGAATAAGGAAATTAGTCTCAACTATAATATTGTACCAACCCATCTTCCTAACAATCAATAAAGCAAAGAAAATAGCATCAACTTCTGCAGCAATTGGAGAAATAGGTAGAGGAGCAGCAGACCAATAAATGACAGAACCACTCAAATCCTTACAAACTCCTCCAATACCCGAACCATTCTGCTTCCAACTCCCATCAGAATTAATTTTAAGAAAAGGAGCATAAGGCTTATTCCAAACTACTTGACAAAAGGAATAAGAATTAGTAGTAAAACTGTGAGAGAGTATAGTAGGAATGACTTTCACATACACATTGTTAGTATCCTTCATACCATTAAAAGAAAGACTCTTATTCATATAAGAATAAATTTTAGAGCAAATATCCTAACAGTGATAGTCTCATCAAAATATTTCGTAGAGTTTCTAGAAACCCAAATAAACTAAAATACTATAGAAGGTATATTATATAAGAAATCATGCCCCTTTTCCTTCCAATCATCATAAATAGCATCATTGTTAGGATGCCCAGAAAAAACATCCCTCCTATCATAAATATCAAAAAAACTATTCTAAATATTCAAAACAAAAGTACAATCACTTACAGAGAACACACTTAGAAGCAATCCTTAAGCCCTTAAACTTAAGAATATTGTCAGTAGGTATGATTAGAGGTATAAACGAATCAAACAAGAACGAACAGAGCTTGTGTTCGTGTTCGGTTCGTTTGAAATTTAGTTTGTTTGAAATAAACTCGTGTTCAAAATTGTTCGTGAAATCACTGTCCGTGTTCATTTCATAACGAACGAGCCGAACACGAGCTGTTTGCGAACGACTAGCTAGTTTGACATTCCTAATATTAATATATATAAATAATATATTATATTAATTATATAACTTATATTATATAAATATATAATATCTATATTAGTATTTTACTAATATAGTATGTTAATATATTATTATTATTATTATTAATTTATTATATATTATAATTTATAAAATTTAATTTTTTAAAATATCATAAATTTTTTATATATAATTATTTAAAATTATTTTATATTTCGAACAATAGCGATTCAAAAACAAACGAACGCATCACTGTTTGCGTTTAGTTCGTTTAACTAACCGAATGAAAAAAATTTGTTCGCGTTCGTCTCGTTTACTTCTCGAATGAACCGAACACAAACTCATTGACGAACCGAACACGAACTGTTCGCGAACAACGAGCTTCTTTGACAGCCCTAGGTATGATCTTGTGAAAACCCCTCAAAACAAAAAAAAAAGAAATAGAAGGTTTTACCCATTTATTCCAATTCCAGCTAAGATCCATTCCCTGATTAGAAAAAATATGACTACCAAAGGACTTAGCAATAGAATCACCAAGCTTACCTTTAACCTTAGGAACATCTTTTTTATTAGGCATAATAGGAATTTGAGAGATAAACTTAGCATCATTATAATGCACAATAGTAACCAGCTGAGGCAAATTTCAACTTTGCCCAACCCATAAATCCTTAAATTTCATATTAATATCCTGAGGACCCCCATAGAAGTCACCAAGAGCTCCCTTACCAAGCCCGTCCTCATACCAAAAAGCTACATCCCTATTGCCAACATCCCAACATAACATCTCTTTTACTTGAGAATAGACCTTAAGCATCTCCCTCCAAATAAAATAATCCTTTTTAGAAAAGGAAATAGAAAGAGGATGAGAGGTAGAACAATACTTAGCTCGGAGCAGAGAAGCCCAAATAGAGTTATCCATTCGAAACCTAAGCCAAAGCTTCATATAGTTAATTCTAACAAAATCAATAAGCCTACGAAAACCAAGTCCACCTTTATCAACCAATTTACAGAGCTTCTCCCAGCTCTTCCAACGAACATTTTTCTTACCAAAACCCTCAAAAAAAAATTTGTTAAACAATATATCCAACCTCTTAATGAAACCAAGAGGCATACACATCACTTGCATAATATAAAGAGGAAGAGAGGTAAGGCTCTTAAGTAAAGCAACACGTCCACCAAAAGATAAGAACTTATGCTCCCAAGAAAGATTCCACATTCTAATCTTCTCAAACAATTTTAAAAAAATAATTCTTCGTAACTTTTTTGTCAAGGATAAAACCCAGATATTTCAAGGGTAAACTAGCCTTAACACAATTAGTATAATCAGCAATCCAATTCTTCTTATCAACAAATATATATTTGGAACAACAAAAATAACATTTAGAATTGTTAAAAATTAAATCAGATACGTCTCGTATATGAGAGATCACCTTCAAAATCTTGTTGATGGATCTCTTATGAGATTTAGTAAAAAGAATAAGATCATTTACAAAACGAAGATGAGAAATGTTAATACCATCTCTATGCATATAATTTAGACTAGGATACTTTTCAAAAAGATTTTTAAGACACTTAGAAAGGAAAAATTATTCCATACGCTGCGTGCGTTGCCCGATCCGGACCGTAGATCACCTGATCTACGGTCCCGATGTATTTCGGTGGGCCCCACCTAATTTTTTTTTTATATAAAAAAAACAGAAATAATCCTGGCCGTAGATCACCGTGATCTACGGTCAGGATCGGACACCGCATGCATCTCT